GGATCCAACATCTGCTGTTGCCAGAGACTTCTTCAAATGATGCATTCCTTCAGCAACTGAGTCCACTTCATCCAGACTATGTGTACTGTAAATTCCTAGCTTCACAACAATTCTGCTACTGTTACCAACAATATACAAAGGAGCTTGCATCCCAGTTTTGCCAGTAACAAACAAGAGTTGAATACTGTGGCGTGAATAACCATCACCTGGTTGACCAAACTGGGTGAAAACTCTGCACTATGCTGTGAACCACCATTCACAATTGTCACACTGGGCAATTGCCTACTGAGTACCCCAACTTCAATGCAAATGGCTCCTACCTCATCAAACCCGCTAGCCCATATCATGGCATCCTCATGAAGGGTGAAAGCTTCTTCCTTATGAGTGCTTTGCTCTACCTTTCCAATTTTAACTCTACAAAAAGACTGGTTCGCGTATGTGACCCAGCTGAGAATATCAAAGCCATCCATTATGTCTCCATTGTGGTCAAAGGAAATCTTTTCCCCAGCACTATTGTTAAATGACAAGCCCCTCAGAAAATGGTGCAGCTGAACATTGTAAGAAGAGAAGAATTCAGAAGGATGAGCAAAGTGGCTTATAGAAAACACATGACATAATTGTTGCTTACCCAAGGACAAGATGAAACCTCTTTCCATTCTGAGGCTTGAACTGAATACCAAATAAATCTTCTTGGTATCTTCTACCCAACCCCTGCACAGCTGGTGTACAATGTACCACTCCATCTGTCTACTCACAGACAACTTGAACTCAGTGGGGCAATTGGGGAGTATCAGGGGTGAAGAAGTGAAGTTGGGCCCACTGAAATGCATTGATTCCAATGAAAACCTCCGTTTCCTTTCCTTCTCTCCCTACCCACCACTAATTTGGAATTGCCAAATGTCTGGAATAGCACTAAATCTCACTTCTGATCTTGGATACTCAGACACCTCTAATTTCAGATGCTTATGGACATCTGCCAGGAGGGTGATAGAATCATGCTCCATGCTGGGATGCAATGCATGAACCTGAATCCAATTCCACTTCAGTTTTTTCCACTGAACTGCTAGGTTTCTTGTGGTCAGAACAGAATCTAAATCCCCTTTGGGTATTGATAATACAACATCAGTGACAGAATATTAGCAGCAATCCTT